GCAATCAACATAGAAACCGCTACGCACTTAATCTCTGTTCAATTAGATAACATTGTCAACGCTATGAAAACATAAAATATAAATTCCTTTAAGTACTGAGATTGTGCACTAACTACTATTAATTTACTACTTTATTAATAAACTAGCTTTTTCCCGCGGATTCGCTCGCGTTAATTTATCCCCTTAGGGGTGGGATTTATCAAAATCCTTTCTTAGGGGATGCCCACGTCATAGTAGCTTTATGCATGCAAAGTCTCAGTCCGATCGGTATAAAATTAACAAAATTTCATACAAACTTTCATCCCCTATTTTATCCCCTTAGGGGTGGAATTAAACAAAATCCTTTCTTAGCGGATGCCCACGTCATAACATCTACCTGCATGCCAAATTTCAGCAATCACGATCCGTCCAGTGGTTTGGGCTGTGCGTTGATAGATCATTATGTCAGTCACCTTTGAGTTATATTTATTTAGATTATTTCTATTCTATTGTATTATTTTAGTTAGGTATATTCGTATAGGTCAACTTAGAGGAGATTACCATCGATACATCTATACATATAAATAAAATTGGAGTGTCTGTTATATTGAATCGTTGTTTACTACATGCATAATACACATACCATATAACATAGTTAAGAGTCTGACTATGATGGTATTCTAGTGCCGTCGCTATTGCATACACGAGTGGCAAATACATTATCGATGAGTGCAATCGACAGCGATACACGCAAAACGCAATGAGAGTGTACAACGGTGGATGTAGAAACTATCGGATATCCGATATAAAAAATTATTCGTAACGCAATCCGAAATAAGAGTTTCGGATAATATCGGATAGGGCAGAGCCTAATTGTAACATGTTATGTAACCATTTTATTAGCTACTAGCTGTATCCGCGACTTCGTCCGCATGGAAATTAACTATATTTTTCTAAATTAAAGGTAGCCTAAGTTACTCCTTATTAGATGTAATAAGGAGTAACATCAGCTACCTGCCAATGAAAGTCCCGTCAAAATCGGTCCAACCGTTTCAGAGATTAGTCGGAACAAACAGACAGACATAAATAAATATACACACCAATATTACAAACTTTGAGACACTTCAATTTTATTTATATGTATAGATTTATATTTTACTTTTAAAATTCCTTAAATAATTAATATCTGTAACCGAAAATATCCGAAACTAACGGATGATCCGAAATAATTTCATATCCATCATCCGTATCCGTTAAATTATATATAATAATCATTGCATATATAATTGTATATGCATATTGATAAATCTAATCTTCCAAATAAAGATGGGTGACACTGCATGTTGTCAACTCACCCGGCCAATGAAAGCGGTGGTTCTGGGCCAGACGGATAAGGTCTGCCTCGGTGTCACTGTTAGGCAAATTGTAACATCTCGGCTAGAGTTGTACAAAAATGGAAATTAAATAAATATTATAATATTAAAGTAAATTAAAAAAGGCTTAAATAACGAATATCTGTAAAAATGTATTTAAATTTAAAAAAAATATCATAAAATAATCATAAATACACAATCATAATCTTAAATTATATATAATAATCATTGCTATATCTGAAACCTATCCGTATCCAAAATTTCATATCCATAACATCCCTGATGCAGACAGCACGCGCTGCGGACCATCCATCAGGGAGGCTCCAGCCCGCACCTGCCTCCACGGTGGGGAACGGGGAGGATTGTCGGGAAACTACGTTTTTGTTGCACTATTCCACTGTTAGATAGTGCTTTATAGTGAAAGCAGAGCCTGGATTGATTTATGCACATCGTTAGCCGGCGAACTGCACACTGTGTCAGTTTTATAGCAGCCAGCCAGCTCAATTGGGAGTTCAGATTGGAGATCGTTTTATAGTTGCTGAGCGCGCGGCGGGGGCGGCGCGGCGCCGGCTGACGAATTGATAGATCTGGATCTGGATCTAGTTACGCCATTTATAACATTTTTATTGTTAACTAGCTGTCCCCGGAATTTAACTATATTTTTTCTAAAATAAAGAATTCGTCGAAAATAAAACTAGACTAAGTTACTCCTTATTACATCAGTTACCTGCCAAAAAAAGTCCGGTCAAAATCGGTCCAGCCATTTCAGAGATGAGCCGGAACAAACAAACAGACAGACGGACAAAAATTGTAAAAAAATTATTTTGGTGTATGTACCGTATTTATATTCATATGCAATGTGTATGATATATTTCATGTATATATGTATTTTATTCATACATCACAGAAGACCGAAGAGCTGGCAGCTACCTTGGACAAAGAATTAGTCTAGCTATTCAAAGAGGGAACGCTGCCAGTATCTTCGGAACGTTGCCTAAAGGGACCCCTTTTAATAATATATTTTAGTCATCATATTATTTTTTTTTAAGGTTTTTAATTCGTTAATTGAATAATGAATAATTTTATTCATATTTATCTGTAGCTTTATACATATTGTATGTATTTGTGTATGCATGAATAGAATAGAATAGAATAGAAAATAATTTATTCAAACTTAATTTAAGCACTTTTGAATAGTCAACATTTTTTTTTAAATCTACCGCTCATTCGGAAAACTGTCTCATCACAAGAAGAACGAGCAAGAAACTTGTGTGTCGCTCTTTTAAATAATTCTTGTAAGTTCACATTTTTCAAGTCGAAACGTGTGAATACAAACTACCAACCAGCACTAATTTATTAGGCTCAAATATAAATATACAATAAGATTAAATAGTGATCCAGTCCCTACAAAATATCTATGTATCGGTATCAGTTATCTAGTATCCATAACACAAGGTTCAGCTAGCTTAACTAGGATCTAGATGGCGCTGTGTAAATTGTCCTGAGATTATTACTTTTTAAACTTAAGAAAAATTCTCTCTTAAGGAGAGGAGATGGCAACTTACGGAAGCACAGTCGGCCGGGGTTCAGGACCCCAGGGAGAGAAACCAGCGTACAATGCGGGCAGAATCTAAGAGCATCGCTTTCTGCATCCTTCCCGGGAGTGAGCCGCCACAGAATCCCAACCGTCTGAGATGTTGTTCCAGACTGGTTGGGATAAGACCATTCACCGACATAACGATTGTAATGATTTCGGTGGACATCACCCCTCACATTTCGGACACCTCGTGAGCCAGGTCGAGATATTTTCTGAGATTATTATTATTATTATAAAAAATACATTCTGATTAGCCAGTTACAATAAATTAGTATTTTTTTTGTAATCGAATTAGGTGTCATTTTGCGGAAGTCCAATTCACTACTCGATGGATTTATATAATTTTGTGTAATTCCGCTACAATTAGCATGTGTGAGACCACAAATATTCTGTGTGGAAACTTGACTACCGTTACGACCTTCTCTAATGGAGATCAAATCCCGACCGTTATTGAGTCTACACCCATATCGCGACACGTGTTTCGCCTCTGTACGAGGCATCATCAGGCGTTGAACAGAGTTCGGGTACAGCTCGGAAGCCTAGTGTTGATTCTTCAACAAAATCTTTTATTTAAATTATTTTTAAAATCTTACATCACTCCAAATATATAATAACAGAATAACAATTTTACGATTCAACTGAGAATAAATATTGTTATTGCATTAAATGTTAAATATTCCCGTTGGCCATATATTAAACGCCACTCGTATGTTGGTATGCATATATTTTCCCCTATACGTTAAATATTAAAGCAGACGTAATAAAAATCTGGAGTTGTTCAATACGAGGCAGGGGAGTGTCATTTCGGTCCGAGGTCGTTGATACGGTTGGTCTGTATCAGGGATGTTAGGGAGCTCCGTAACTGTGACCGAAACTATCGGATATCCGATATAAAAAAATATTCGTAACCGTAACCGAATCCGAAATAACAGTTTCGGATAATATCGGATAGTGGCGGAGCCTAATAGAGACACGATATGTAACCATTTTATGAGCTATTTGTATTTTACTTATGAAGATTGATTGATTTTAGAAATATGAAAGCGTAGCGGTTTTTTATTAATTGCCGCATGCATTCTTATGTAAAATGTAAATACTATAACTATCAGATGGCAATTGTGAGTAGCTTTGACGTGGTCTAGTGTTTTGAGTAGTCATGCTCACTAAAATGTCCAGACTTGTGGCGGCGTGGTGGGCCGGGTCATTGGGCTCCCTAAAATATGGTCGAGCGCAGTGATGGCTGGCTCATCCGTCATACTCGTGAACGGGTGCTGCTTGTAGGGACTGGTCTGCTCTAATCACTATGACTGATTTCCTCTTATTAATTGTTTAACCAGTTGGTTATGTATTCAATATTTTTCTCTTTGAGTATTTAATTGAATTAGTGCTAATTGGTGGTTTGTATTCACACACTTAAACTTAAAAATGTAAAGTAATAATAAAATTATTTAAAAGAGCAACACGCAAGTTTCTTGCTCGTTCTTCTTGTGATGAGACAGCTTTCCGAACGAGCGGTAGATTAAAAAAAATGTAATGACTATTCAAAAGTGCTTCAATGTAAGTTTATTTGAATAAATGATTTTCTATTCTATTCTATTCTGAAGTTCTTTAAAAAATTAATATCCGTAACCGAAATTATCCGAAACTAACGGATAATCCGAAATTATTTCATATCTGCATCCGTATCCGTATCCGGTATAATAATCAAATTGCCAAACCTGTGCAATACTGGGGTACATTGACACATACTTTGTCCTTTCTAATACCAGCGCGATCATTCCCCTTCAACCTTAAAAAAACAATACCCAAATGGCCAGAAAAAAGAAAAGGAATCGCATTAAATCAGCGGCACCCCTATCCACTATTAATATGGATTTCTGTAACATCAGGGGACTACACGGAAACATCAATGCGGTCCACCATCATCTCGAGACCGCCAAGCCGACCCTTCTGTTCCTTACGGAGACACAGATATCCTGTCCGGCTGATACGTCGTACCTTACGTATCCCGGGTATACACTTGAGCACAAATTTGTGCGTCGAGCTGGGGTATGTTTGTATGTCCGGGAGGATATTTGTTGTCGCCGCCTTCTTGGCCTAGAAAAAAAGACCTGTCAGTACTATGGGTACGCGTAGATCAGGGTGAGTACACCGGTATCTACGCATGCCTATACAGGTCTCATAGCGGTGACGAGGACACGACTCGTCTGTTTGAGCACCTTCAAATCACGTCTGATAAAGTTCTCGAGCAATATCCCTCCGCGAATTTAGTGATACTTGGAGACTTTAATGCCCATCACACCGAGTGGCTCCGTTCTCGAATCACTGACCATGCGGGGAGAACTGCTCACGAGTTTGCCCTGGCCTATGGATTCTCACAACTGGTTCATTCTCCAACGAGAATACCAGATATCGAGACCCATACGAGCTCCTTACTGGACCTTCTGCTGACTACAGGTCCGGACGAATATTCAGTCACCGTGGAAGCGCCTCTTGGTTCTTCGGATCACTGTCTTATTCGATCCCAAGTACAGTGCACACAACCTGCCACACACCGAACACCTGGTCGACGTCGCATGTGGCATTATAAGTCAGCAGATTGGGACAGATTGCGAGAATTTTACGCGTCGTACCCATGGAAGCAGCACTGCTTTGCATCAGAAGACGTCGATACCTGTACAGCCGCCGTTACTGAAGTCATACTTGCGGGTATGGAATGTTTCATTCCAAATCTGCTTGTTGCTTCAGGGGCGAAAAAGCGACCGTGGTTTAATAGGTCATGCAGAGAAGCCAGACAGGCTAAAGAAACTGCTTATCAGGCTTGGACCACGGCTCGTTCCAACAGGGATGTTGGCGTATCTGATGCGAGGCGGAATTTAAATGCTGCGTCCAGGTTTAGTAAAAGAGTAATTGCTAGAGCCAAATTCGACTTCGTCAGCAAAATTGGGGAGCGATTAGCCCGTCATCCTTCTGGAAGTCGAGCCTTTTGGTCCCTTGCTAAGGCTGCCGAAGGTAATTTTAGTCAGTCGTCCTTACCACCACTACGGAAGCCGGATGATAACTTGGCACATAGTGCAAAAGAGAAGGCCGATTTGTTGTGCGCTCTTTTTGCCTCAAATTGGACTTTGGACGCCGGGGACACCATAACTACTACCATCCCATGGTGTGGTAACTCTATGCCGGAAATATCCGTAACACAACGGAGTGTCCGGCGAGAGTTGCTGTCTCTCGACGTCAACAAGTCGAACGGGCCAGACGGCATACCGGCTTTGGTGCTAAAGAAGTGTGCTCCTGAGTTGTGTCCCGTACTCACGCGCCTCTTCGCGCTTTCATACTCCTCTGGGCAATTTCCGTCGTCATGGAAGACCACCCTTGTGCACCCTGTGCCAAAAAAATCGAGAGTACTCTCACCAGAGTCTCCGATTGGGGGCGATTGAACTTAGTTCAATTCAACCCTACCAAGACACAAGCCTGCGCGTTCACCGCTAAGAAAACCCCTTTTGCTGTGGCTCCGCAATTCCGGAACACGTCCATTACCATCTCTAAGAGCATTGGGATTCTCGGTGTCGACATCTCTAGCACAGTTGAGTTCCGTAGTCATCTCGAAGAAAAGGTCAAGCTGGCGTCCAAGAAGCTCGGTGTGCTGAATAGAGCGAGGCGGTACTTCACTGCGAACCAGAGACTTCTATTGTATAAGTCGCAAGTTCGGCCGCACATGGAGTACTGCTCTCATCTTTGGGCAGGAGCACCTGGATACCAGCTCGGTCCTTTTGACTCGGTTCAGAGACGTGCTATGAGAATTGTCGATGATCCCAATCTCTCTAACGGTATCGAACCACTTAGCTTGAGGCGAGACTTCGCATCGCTTTGTGTGTTCTACCGAATATACAATGGACTGTGTTCTGATGAATTGTTTGACATGATGCCTACGGCTACCTTTTACCATCGCACCGCTCGCCATCGACAGGGAATTCATCCCCACACGCTGGAACCTAAGTGGTCTCGTACAGTGCGGTTTCAGAGGAGCTTCCTCCCGCGTACACTTAGATTGTGGAATGAACTACCTGCCGAGGTTTTCTCGAGAGACTACAGCATGGGGGTTTTCAAGAAGGGTATATTAAGGTTTCTTAAGGGTCGGCAACGCGCATGTGACACCCCTGGTGTTTCAGGCGTCCATAGGCTACGGTAGCCGTTTACCATCAGATGGGCCGTATGCTTGTTTGCCACCTAAGTGGTATAAAAAAAAAAAAAATCATTCCAATATCCGAAACCTATCCGTATCCGAAATTTCATATCCATAACATCCCTGGTCTGTACATACGTAACGCCGGCGCCGCGTCGGTTCCGCGTCGTCTCCGCGTCGGTGCCGGGCGGGCGGCGGAGTATTACCGCATACCTCACGTTTACATTTTCAATAACGCGAAATTCCAACGAGCCAGTATAAATTATGTGAAATGAAAAAGAAACCTTATCGAGAAATTGTAAATTACGGCCGCGAGGCTCGTATAAATTAAGCCTCGCCGGATATTGAGGCGTCGTGCGACTTCCGCTCTGTAATCCGCGCTTTTCCGCTCGCGCTTGCACGCTGCTCGTCGCCCCCCGCCCGTCGCCCGTCGCTTGTATCCGCCTCGCCGCCGTCACTTATACTGTGGCCACATTGTAACCGCCCAGTTCTTGTAATAATACGCTCATATAGCTGTTCGGGGTCAATAGCAAAGGTCATTATCTAGATGTAATTAAAAAATTAGAGATCAAATTGTATTGCCCAATACTAAGTATTATTTCCGACTAGCTGTACACGCGACTTCGTCCGCGTGGAATTTAACTTTATTTTTCTAAAATAGCCTAAGTTACTTCTTATTACATCAGCTACCTCCCAATAAAAGTCCCATCAAAGTCGGTCCAGCCATTTCAGAGATTAACCATAATAAATAGACAGACATACAGAAATTGTATAAAATGTTATTTTGGTGTATGTACCGTATTTATATTCATATGCATGTAGTAAAAAACGGTTATTTCAATATTACAAACAGACACTCCAATTTTATTTATATGTATAGATGTGAAATGACATAAATCGACTAATCCGCATTTTTTTGTAAAAAAAAATGTTGAAGCACTTTTTAAGTGATTCATATAAATTACGATATACCAAAGGATATACTAGAATTACCCTTAAATAAATTCAAAACATCTGTTAAATAATATTTACTGAGCAAAGCCTATTACTCACTAAACGATTACTTGAATGACGAGCGTGCATGGCAATAGTTGTTCATGCACGGGATTTTCATTTAATGTTAGACATAGACACCTATACAAATATACATTGTAAATAAAATGGCTTATAAAACAAAGTAATTCAATTGAGTTTCTTGCCAGTTCTTCTCAATTGGATCTATGTACTGAACCGGACGGTTGAGTAAAAATTATAATGTAAAAAATATAACGTTCATAAGCGGCTAAAATGTCCTACATGAATAAATGATTTTTGAATAGAATAGAAATACAAATAATCTTTATTCAAATAAACTTAATATAAACACTTTTGAATAGTCAAGTTTTTTTTTATTCCACCGCTTATTCGGAATGCAGATTCAATACAAATTTGAAGTTGTTTCGATTTCATAAACATGTTCAATATCAGTAAGTCTTTCAATAGGTTTTAGTTAGGAGGATGTATTGAGTACTACGTATCACTTACAAGGGCCGTCCATTAAGGGTAATGTGGAATCAAAAAAGGGTTCTCCGCCCACTTCGTCCGAGCCCGAACCGCGCTCCCCGCCCCGCCCGCCCTAACAAAATCATATTGTAGTCAAATACACTTTTTATTGGCAATATAATAGTGCACTCGCCTGCGCTAATGGTATAAGTTTTTATTTTGTTTTCCTATTATTTTTGATTTTATTTTGTCTCTTCTATCAATAATATAATATTTATAAAACTTATATTTATATGTAACAATAATGTAATTGAAATCATATATCTAAGAAATGCATAAATTTACATATGTATAAAATCGAGGTTCTGGAGGTCAGGAGAGTTTGTACTTAATGAATGAAATACAGTTATGAGATTACAACCGTATATATTGATCTAAGTGCATAAATTATTTTTTTTCGGACTACTCTAATGCTGTTGGCCGCAGCTGGCCTTTACAGCTTCACCGGACGATAGGGGCGAGTGCAGATGGCATTCCAAACCCGCGGAAGAACTTATGGAGCGGCTGAAGGCCAACTCCTGCCTGACGGATACGACTTTAGTCTGAGGGCACCACTAGGGGTTCGAACCTCGGCTCAGGCCGTCGTAATTTCGATCCCCGTTGAAGTGGATGGGGGACCGATCGGAGGGGACATAAATAAAAAATTACATATCTATATAAGGACTAACAAAAATATCTTATTAGCGTGTTTTAGAAATATGTATGCAAAAATACAGCGCCATCTAGTTGTACTAGTATAAAACTATATTGACTCGAACAACATATTTATTTCACCTCTGCTGAAGCGAGCGTAAAGGGCAGGCGTAAGCGCTGAAGCGTAGGCTTTCAAACCAATTCTGAGATTAAAAAAAACGGTTTACGCTGACGGGTGTTAAGATGACCATGTCAGGTTAAATTCACCAGCAATTTGTCATGAGAACCGCGTGGACCTCAATCTGACATGGTACATGAGGTTATAAGTTACTAACAATTCCCTCCTCCAATTCAATTGAGTTACATGCCAGGTGTAGGCGACACGTAAATATAGAAAATAAAAATTGTAAATGTATTCTTAATATTAAATAAACGCACGTTATGGCGGACGTAGGTGCGAGCGAGCGCGACTGCAGCGCCTCTCGCGTTTTTCTTGCAGTACTAATCGGTTGCCGCGCTTTTTGTTTTTTTTTTTTGTGGATGATAATGGAATTGTGCACCCGCCTGCGCTAACGGTTTACGCTGGCGGGGCACCAGTGGAGGATGATAAGATGAGCATGAGGTCAGGTCAGTTAGCACATCGTGACAAATTCACCAGGAATTTAACACGACAGTTACCAGGGGGAACCGCGTGGAGGTCGACCTGACATGGTACATTGCTAGCAATGGGGTTATCAATCCACATTACTAACAATTCCTTCCCCCCCGCGCTTTTTGTTCTCGCTTCGGCTTGCGTGCACCTCCGCAACACGAATAAGCAAAACAATCTATTTATTTCTTTTACATCCTCAACACCAGGGTAGGGTAAAAATGAAAATTATAATATAAAAAAATTTGTTATTCATAAGCGGCTAAAATGTCCTACATGAATAAATGATCTATGTACATGTTGTTAGTTTATTATCATCTGTTATATACATCGTCTCGACCAACAACATAGTATCACTCACCTGTAACATCAGTCAATTGACTGCCCTAATTTCTGTAATGAATTATGTCAGACAATTGAGTGCCTTAATTTCTGTTTGTAAAATCAGTAAATTATTCGAGTAATAGAAACTATACAGTGTTAATTATGCGGCTTTGATTCACTGTTACCCGACATTTGAAAGTGACTACGATTTAACAGAACATCTTTAAAACAATCCTAGCACTGGTAAATATTACATTGTGTTATCAATTAAATGCCTCATTATTCGATCTAAGAATAGAATAGAATAGAAAATCATTTATTCAAATAAACTTAATTTAAGCACTTTTGAATAGTCATAACAATTTGTTTTTTATCTACCACTCGTTCGGAAAGCTGTCTCATCACAAGAAGAACGAGCAAGAAACTTGTGTGTTGCTCTTTTAAATAATCCTTGTAAGTTTACATTTACAAGTCGAAACGTGTGAATACAAACTACCAACAAGCACTAATTTTCGGGTCAAATATAAATATGCAATAAGATTAAATCAGTCGTAGTGATAAGAGCAGACCAGTCCCTACAAGCAGCACTCGTTCACGAGTATGACGAATGAGCCAGCCATCACTGCGCTCGACCATATTTTATGGAGCCCAATGACCCGGCCCACCACACCGCCACATGTCTTGACATTTTAGTGAGCATGACTACTCATTCCACTCGACCACGTCACAGCTACAAAAATTACTATATGGTAGTTACAGTATTCGCACTTTACATGAGGATGCGGCAATCAATACAAAAGCCGCTACGCTATCATATATCAAGTAAGCAGAAAAATTAATTACTAAAATTATTAATTCAAATTAATCATAATGGTTTCTGCATAAACCTGAAAACCACACTGTGAGAAAGTGCCTTTCCATGGCTACAACAAAAAGAGGACGAGGCAGGCCACCAACTACCTGGTTGACAAATGTCCATAGGGACATGAAGGAGTTGGGCCTGTTAAATGACGATGCTTGCCAGCGAAATGTATGGCGCCCCAGGATTAGAAAAGCCGACCCCGAGTAACGGGACGAGACGAGGATGAAGAAGAAGAAATTAATCA